TATCTGCATAACCTTGGGTTATGCAGAACACACAAGACTCTCAGCATCTGGGATAGAAAGCAAGTCTGTAAGCGCGGATGCACTGGAGGGAGCTTGGATAGCTGGAGGCTGGGAAGCGGGAGAGCTACATTCGTTTTGTTTTGTTTTGTGTTTTGAGACAGAGTCTCACTATGTAGCCCAGGCGGGCCTTGAACTTGTACTGATCCTTCTGCCTCAGCTTCCCAAGTGCTGAGATTATAGGCGTGCGTCACCGTGGTCAGTCTAGAGTTACTTTCAACTGTGTATTCACTTTTACCTTTTGAAAGAACTTTCAATAAATAAGATGTAAATTAAAAGAAAGGAAAAATAGATGGAGGACCAGATCTGGCCGAAGGACTGTACGTTTTGGCAAGCCCTGTGCTAAGCCAGAATGGCCCCTTTGGTCACCACGGAAACCAGCTAAGCTCCTACCCCAGGAGCCAGGAATCCATTACTCTAGAATGTGGTCTCATGGGGCGGGCCTGCATCCCCTACCTCTGACTCGCTTGGACCTTACTTGGAATCTAAAGCCCTTGCTCCTATCGAATAATCTCCAAAAGATCTGAGAATGTTTCTTCCCGTAAGATACAACCTAGTCAGTGGCTGCGGGCTCCTTTGAGGAAGCTTTGGAGATGTGTATTGCATGCTTAGGAAGTTTTGCAAGATCCTTCCTCTAAGGAACCCTGGCCGTGTCTCCATCCAAGGGCACTGGGCCTCTGAACTGCCTGGAGAGATCGGGACCACTCCTGGGAGAACAAAGCCAGAACTAAGCCAACAGGCCTGGAGTTCTCCTGTGCTGTGGGTCTCGTGGTATTTTAGTAGCCAGCTTGGAGGGACACTCAAATCTACGCAGATCAGAACATTCCAGCTGGGATTCTCCAGCGCCTGCTATGTCTCTCCTGCGTACATATGGACACTCGGTCTTTGCAGCTGCAGGCCTCCATCTTTCCCAGGAAATGTGGAGGCCCGTGTTCATGACAGCCCTTCCTGTGATTCCCGGCCACCATGCAGCTCTGTGAGGACACTGGTTCTCCTCTTGCATATTCCTTGGGGTTTATTTGTTTTTGTTTTTTCGAGACAGGGTCTCGCTATGCAGCTCAGGCTGCCTAGAATGTGCAGCAATCCTCCTGCCTCAGCCTCCTGAGTGCTGGAATTACAGACATGTACCCCCACGCCTCACATATTTCTAATGCTAGAGTGCTGGGTGCCTGCTGGGACATTCCACGGGATGGAATGGGGAGGTGTGCAGGTGATAAGCCCATCTCTCTCACCGTTCTCTCTTGCTGTACTCCCAGCTTCCGGCTTCTGCCTGACAGCAGGAAGTGCAGTGTCTCAGCTTCACCACAGGAGGCCATGATCAGATCCCGGTTACAGCCAGGCATCCTGCAGACCATTCAGCGGCCACTATGTGTGGTTGGTTGCCAAATAACATGGTCACAGACCCGCTGTGTGCTGCACACCCCGGGCAGGGGATCCACTGCATCTCCGTGGGGTGAGGCTGCCTCTCCCCTTCCGGCCCAGGCTGGCTGTGACAGGACAGTTGTGACCTGCAGCACCTAGCAGCAGTGACCTTGAGTGTCCACAGCTTTACAGTTTCCTCTTCTCTCTCCACGCCCCAAGACTTCGGATAAAGAAGCCAGGCTGATCCCCTGTGGATAGGGAGGGGCCGCATCATTCACCAGATCATGGGGGGATGCCTTCGCTGGAGCGACAGCGAAAGACCAGCAAAGCACAGCTGGACAGCCAAGCCCCATCGCTGACCCGCAGGGGAGTGAGCAAATAAACAGGTGTTTGTTCACGCCACCGAGGCACACGCCCACCAGAGGCCCTGGCAAGGGACCCCGTGACCAGCCAGGGTGGTGGCCCGCAGCACTCTGTAAGGCTGAGGCAGGAGGGTGGCAAGTTGCCGCCCAGCCTGGGTGACTTAGCAACTTAGCAAGACCCTGTCTCAAAGTCAAAAGACAAGATGGGGGGACAAAAGACAAGGTGAAGGGGGGTCCAAAGCAATGGTGACCAAAAATGTGGGGACACGTATGGGACAGGAGCCCTGCTTGCAGGGGCCCTCAGCAGTGTCAGCACGGGGCGGAGAGGCAGGAGGGGGGCAGGGCAGGCGGGGATTAGCACGGAGGGGCGGGAGGGGGTGAGGCGGGAAAGAGATTAGTCCCAACCACACCACCACCACCCCACCCCACCCCCGCGGCAGGGGCGGAGCCAGGCGCGGAGCTGTTGCTGCCCAGCAGACCCCACGTTTGGGGCCACCCCCACACGGGCCCCAGGTGGGGAGGATGGGCGCATCCAGAATTCCCATGCTTGGGGCTGGGGATTTAGCTCAGCAGCACAGCGCCTGCCTGGCAAGCGCAAGGTCGTGAGTTCAATTCCCGGTAGCGGGGGAAAAAACAAAAAGCAAACAAACAAACAGAATTCCCATGCTGTCCACAGCTCCCCAAGAATGGCCAGGAAAATGGCAAAGAAGTCAGGACAGCAGAAGAGAGGGCAGAGCTCCCGACAGCCCAGCTGTGACAGACGGGAGGGCCCGAGGCCGGAAGGGTGGCTCTGCTTAAGAAGGCGCGTGGACCCAATAGGCTGTCCCCCTGGGGAAATGAGGTGCACCCCAGTTCTCACCACTGCCAAAGAAGTATAAATTAAACAGTATAAACAATATATGAAACATACTTTGAAAGACTTTTTTTTTGTAGCACTGAGGATGAAACCCAGGGCCTTACCTATGCTTGGCGAGTGCCCTTCCGCTATTTCTGATATTGAAGCAAGTTCTCACTACACTGCCCAGGCCAGGTGCCAGTTCGAGATCCTCCTGCCTCAGCCTCCAGAGTATCTGGGGTTACAGATGTGCACCACCACACCTGGCTCTGAAAGACCTTTTATTTTATTTTATTTCATTTTTAGTTTTTTTTTTTTTTTCGGTACCGAGAATAAAACTCACGACCTTGCACTTGCCAGGCAGGTGCTGTGCCACTGAGCTAAATCCCCAGCCCCTAAAAGACCTTTTAAACCAAGACCAGAAAACTGGAAGGTACACGAAAACAGAAAAGTCAACATATTTAGTTACATAGAATTTTAGCAATAATCATGCCTCAGATAAATCTCATTAGCTATGATACTGTCATGACGCAAAGCTGGTTCCATAAAATTTTAAATTGTACGTGAAAGAAGGCACTTTCATCCCAGTCAAAAGGAACTAATACAAGGGAAAAACATTTGCAATCCATGTGCCAGGTACCAGGTTAGTATCTATAGATACAAAGACTCCTACAAATTGGTAAGGAAAAGGCAAAAACCATCTGGGAAAAAAAAGGAAAGGCATAGAAATAGTTATCAGAAGAGCAAAGGTTAAAAAAAAAAAAAAAAAAAAAAGAGCAAAGGTAAGCCGGGTGAGCATATGAAAGGGTTTTTTGGGGCTGGGGATTTCGCTCAGTGGCACAGCACCTGCCTGGCAAGCACAAGGTGGTGAGTTCGGTTCCCGGTACCAGGGGGCGGGGAAAGAAAAGGTTTTTAGTGTTAGTAGTGGTCAGAAATATAAGTTAATGATGTACTATTAACAAAACACTCAGAGGTCAACACACACACACACACACACACACACACGAAATGATACTTATAGCTTCTGAGGGTGCAGGGGAAACTTCTCCATTTTCATTCACTGCTCTTGAATTTTGTGATGGCCCTTTTGGACAGTAATCTGGAAATATCTAGTGAAATTAAAATGTACCTGCTGTTTAACCCAGCAACTCACAATTGGAGATTGATCCCTTTAAAATAAAAGCAAAACAACATGAGAATCTGTCACATCTATCACAAAACCAAACCCACCAGAAAATCCAAGGAAACGAATTTCCTTAGTAGGACCACAGTGAGTAGAGGCTGGTACATTCACATCACAGCTGGAATACAACACAGCCAATAAAAAGGACGGAGTAGAGCAACGCTAACTGAAGGGTTAAGTTAAATGAGCAAAGAGAAAAGGTGTGCGTATAACATGGTCACATCTTTGTAGAAAAACAGTGACAAAAATCTTACATACATGCAAAAGTTGTTACATGCAGTTCCATCTATAAGTGAGACATGTGAAGGATCCACAGCAGTATTCTCATTTATTTGCTGAGGAAAGAAAGTCAAAATGAGGCAACTGAGATGAACAGATGCATCAAAGGAGCCAATGAGCACATGAAAAAATGCCCAGCGTCACGGGCTGGTAGAGAAATACAGATTAAAGCCACGCCGAGACTGCATCTTACTCCAGACAGAATGGCTGTCATCAAGAAATCAATAATAAATTCTGGTGAGGCCTCGGGGAAGACGGAACCCTTCGACATTGCTGGTGGGAATGTAAACTAGTACAACCACTATGGAAATCTGTGTGGAGATTCCTCAAAACAGTAATGCTAGAAATTCCATTCATCCCAGCTATTCCCCTTCTAGGTATCTTCTTGAAAGAGTCAAAGACATCGTATGACAGTGGTCCACGCATACCCGTGTGTGTAGAGCAGCACAGTCCGTAACAGCTAAATCTTGGAAGGAGCCAATATGTCCACCAACAGAGAAATGGATAAAGACGATGGTATTTACACACAATGGAGTACTACTTTGCCATAAAGAAGGATACACTTGAGTCATTTGTAGGAAAATAGATGCACCTTGAGACCGTAGTGTGAAGTGAAATAGATGTGATACACAGCTTAAATAGTGCATGGTTTCTCTGATATGAGAAAACCAAAATCTAATTCAATTAAAGAGTAAAGTAAAAAAAAAAAAAACAGGGAGACAGGTTTTTTTGCAGAAGGGAAAGGGAGAAGAGGGCGTCAGAAGGAAGAAGCCGACTCCCCGTGGGGAAGCCGACCACGGTGTGCTGCAGACATGAACCAATACAAAGAAAACGTTTAAAAAGTAAAGTTACTTTGTATACAAAAAAAGAGTCAAATGCATAAAGAAAATTAATTTTGCAAAAGGAGGACGAAAGCAAGCCCGGGATAACGGCGCATTTGCCGCTCTGCACCGCCCCTCCTTTGTTCCCCCAGCGCCCCACAGCCCAGACCAGGCGCGGTCCCCGGGAGGAGGGCGCAGGCGCGAACCTGGGGAGCCGGCGGCGCAGTCGACCCGGACTAGCGAGGCTGCGAGCCGGAAAGGGCGAGCGGGAGCAGGGGTCTGCGCGGCCGGCAGAGGGCGCCGTAGGGCAGGGCCGCGCCACCAGCGCTGGGGTTTATTCCGCCCGGAAGAGCACAAGGAGAGCCGGCCTGGCGGCGCACGCCCATCCTCACAGCACTCCGAGGGCTGAAGCAGGAGGATCGCCGTTAAGTCCCAGGCCAGCCTGAACTCTACAGTGAGACTCTGTCTCAGAAACCAAACAAGCAAGCAAAAAAAACACAGGGAAAGCGCAGCCTTTTCGATGAGCAGATTGTTTGGATGAGGGAAATGAAACCTGACCCTTGCACCATAAACAGGTTCAAAGATGGCTGCAGTCCTAAATATGGAAGAACAGAACAATAAAGCTTTTTTAATTTTTTTTTTTTTTT